TTCAAATTGACTACAGACCTAAAGATCATCCTGTTGCGTTTGTAAGTACAACTTCAATGCATTTTATTTGTGCATGTGTCTTTCTTTCCCTGGGTTTGTAATTGTTTCTAAATAATTGTTTCAGGCTGTAGGGATCACGCCCAATTCCCTCACCGATCATACACCCACCCTAAGACCCACACAAGCTCTCATTTCACCTGGCAAGTGCTTAGTCAGTGATTCTTTCTCGTCTCTACCCAAGCATCTTGTATCCTTACATACCATCGAATCTGTCTGCCACTGAGCCGCGCTGCCAGTGAGATGGAGCTGCTGGCAGGTCCTGTTGGCTAGCCGTTCGTAGCTTGTAAAGATCAGTAAGATGTGTTTAGGTTTGCTGATACTTTACAGCTTTTCCTTGTGGTCACATGATGCCTCTTCTCAGTAGTCATGTTATTTAACAGGAACTCTGTTTGTCAGTAGTCAGGCTAGCGCTGGAGTCTGCTTCCAGCGTGGTTCCTGCATGTTTTAGATCGTCAACACAGCACTAGAGGGTGTTAAAGCATGCCCAAACTTACCAAGTGTTCCTTTAAATAATGAACGGTGAATTGACATTTGACCTTAAACAGGTCGTTGGTGCTGCCCAGAAAACTAGACAAACTCGGTCTAGCCATGTTCCATTGTAACCTCAGCAGCTCTACCATTGGCCTGAAGAATTTTAGGTCGGGCCGGTCAGCGCTCTACGTTAAATGGGTGTTCTTTAGAGATGCCATTGAGAAAAAATTCAAAGGTGGTGTCGGCTCAGGATTGGCACTCCTTTAAAACAGTTTTTAGATTTGGTCTCTTTTTTGAGACATGAGCAGATATTTAAGTCATTTATTTCTAAGATCTCAGATCTTCTGCTTCTTCTGGTTATGCTGAAATGTCCCCTTGACTGATTTCCAGAGTGATGGATTTGTCACATTGGTTACTCTTATTGGTTCTAGTGGTGTCCAATTATGTGTGAAGACAGTTTGAAAGACAGGTGTATATTTTGCTCCACGACTGGGTGGTTTCAGTGGCTCGTGGCCAGAGTTACATTTATAGGATGGGTTGCTGGTCTAGGAAAACCCACCACTGTGGCTGAATTGAAACTGTAAGCAAGAGTGTGACAAAATCCCTCCGCAGTGATGAGAGACTCATTACTAGTTATCACAGATGCTGGATCCAGTTGTGTTACAGCCTGTTAGAGGGTTCAGGGGTCGGTTACAGGACCAGGCTGGTCTGGAGAGATTTGTTCTCTTAATAAAAGGAAATCATCATTTTAAAACAACAAGTCTTTTCTTGAGTTCATGTACTTTGGAACTTTCTTTTATTCTAGACTTACAGCAACTTTTGTACATTTGTTCTGTGTAATCCTTCCATTCTTTTAAATCTTTTCTAAACACAGTGTAGTAGATTTGTTTTTAACTTTTTTGCTGACAAGTGTCAGCTAACGCTGTATCCTTCCTCAGAGCACTGCCGATGTTGGTGGCGTTACTTCCTTCCGACTTCGTCCTCTGCTACCCACAGATAAATGGAGAAGGAAGTAAGCCACCAACATCAGCAGTGCTCTGAGGAAGGCTACAGCGTTAGCCGACACTTGTCAGCAAAAAAGGTAAAAGCAAATCTACTACACTGTGTTTAGAAAAGATTTAAAACAATGGTTTCAAGCATGTTTAATTTCAAACAGTATAAACTAATAAATCCTATTATTTATTAAGGTAAAAATGGGTAATAAACTTCAGTTATCTAGTTCACCAAATGCATGCACTTGTTTTATTGCACTGGGTTTATCAGTTAGCGCAACAGTGAAGGAACCCAGTCTCACTCTCAGGTCCTGATCTTATCTCCTGAGCAGAGGCAGACTACAGTTAAGTGTCTACTGATGTGAGTGTCGGCCCAACAGGGAGGGGAAGGCATTATGCTTGTTTAATTACTTTACCTTTAGGGATAATTCTTAATTGTTGGGTGACTCAAAATGGCAGCCTCCTGGTCTCTGGATAGCCTCTCTAGGCTTTAATGCTGTGTAATTGTATGCTGCTCACACCATAAGTAGCTTGTCTGACTCACCATCACTCACCTAAAAGACAGTGCTGCCGTGCTGCAGGGACCACTGTCTGCTCCACAAAATTCCCCTCAGTCTAAAAATAGACCACTGCATTGTTCACACACACACACACACACACACACACACACACACACACACACACACACACACACACACACACACACACACACACACACACACACACACACACACACACACACACACACACACTGTGAAGGTGCATCAGTGTGAATATCAGGGAGTCGCTCTGTCTTGTCATCAAGCTTGGTCAACCAGCCTTCCTTTAATTAGCGTGTTTATTTACTGTTTCCAGCTGTGGATTCCTCAGTGCTGCCGCTGCCAAACATCCATATGCATGCATAATCACCAAAACATCTCATATCAGCTGAGGGCAAGGCTGGGTTGATGCTTCTGTCTGTGAGACCTTTATGATGGAGCATTGTCAGTGACTTCTCTATAATAGATTTCTGCTCTTGTCTTTTTTTATCAGGCTTGATGTGAATCTTATTCTTCACAAACCCTGTGCTGTGCATAAAGATGTTTCATTGTGGCATATGCAGGATTATCGTGGCACTGCATGGGCCTCTCATTTAAGAGAAGAAATTAGAAGGAATTAGTGTTTTGGGTCAGGAGCGTAAACACTTTTTTAAGTTTTCTGAATACGTTTTTTTCTTCTTTCACTGCTCTAACTTTACTTTCTACATTTACAGAAAGTCTTGGATATCTTTCATGATTTCTCATTTCTCATCACCAGAGAGTGTTACTGCTGACATGGGTAGTTAACTCACTATTTCAGATGAAAGTTGTTAACCTTCCCATCAATTTATCATTTAACCTGCTGTCTAATCTCTGCTGCTTTGTTCATGCCTGACTAAAGTTAAAGCAACGTTATGTAGTGGAGGCAAATTGATGATTTTATCTGTTATGACCATGAAGATGTAATATTCTATTTAAATATAAAATATTAACCTGCGAGGTCTTTATTGTAATTAATCAGAAGATTCTAGGATTTAATTAAGAAGATCTAGGTTCTTTGATTTTTCTGTGATCAACCACACTTCGTGTTACTTCAAGAAAGAGTCAAGTTTATAAAAGTAAGAATTTATTTTACAAACAACTTAAAACATGACTAATTGTTTAACTATTATTTACTGTGAAAGGATGGAGCTAAAGGTAATGTCTGGAACCTATGTGTGGTTGCGATATCAGTCAGCTTATTTTGATAAGGAAGCTCTGAGTTCTGGATGTAAAAGAATTTGGTCTGCGTTAAACTAGGAAGTTGTTATCATCAGAAGTGCATTCAGATGCAATCTCTCTGTGTTCTACCTCACCCTTTGATGACCCTCATCACGGATCCGGAGGTCAGAGAGGTCGGATGACCTCGGGGCACCCAGGTCCGGTAGATTGACCGCAAGCACCGACTTCTCCAGTCCAAAAGATGTCACCAGGCAGCACAGGTTGGAATCAGCTTGCGTCTCAGGAATAACTCTTAAGGAGTTGAGCAATATCAGCTTTGTTCTGCAGGAAAACTATCTTGTTGTTCTAAGCTTCGCAGGTGCGAAAAAATGTTTTGACAACGTGTCAAAATCCTTGGTTAAAGAGGTCTGCTAAAGATGGCCGGTCTAAAGCTTGCTCTCGAGCTCTCGAACAGTTGAGCTGTTCAAACTGTTTTGTCTGAAGTTGAACTCCGGGAAAAACCAGAGTAAAACTAGTTTTAACGGATTGATGTTATCTTGAATAGCCAACCAGAAGTTGGCACGTTGAGGATGTTACCAAGCATCTCAGAACACACCCTCTGTGATGGAGAGACTCTGAATCTAGGCAAAAGGTTACTTATGTGTCATGCATTTAACTTAGCCATACTTGTTATTGTGTGGAGCAGGTGTGAGGACCTTGTCGTCAAAACATGGTGAACACATTGCAGGTTCTATTAGACAAACATAACATCCATTCAGTGAGCACAGATTAATGAAGCATTTCATTATACTATAATTATCATGAGTAGTAAAAACATGTTTATTTAATGATTATCTAGATTATGAGTCATAGAAGGAGTTTATAATCATTCTTGAATTTAGTAACTGATTCGAGCTGGATCTTCTTTCTTCTGGTGGCAGACAGATGAGATCTTGGGAAAGAAAGTTATTGTTTATGATTCAGACTTGCAGAGTCTAAATCCCAGCTGGTGTGAAGGCTCATTTAAAGGGAACACATGCAATATTGTATTCTCCTTTCTGACCAGATGTTGAATAGATGGTGAAAGGTCAGGCTGTACCTAAACTGACCATTGCTGGATGCTACAGTTAGCCTTCAGCAGTCACAGAGATCAGGTGGAAAATAGCCTGAGCTAAAATATTGACTGTAATCAGGTAACAACCGAGGCAAAAAATGGACACAACCCAAAAAAGCTAATAATGGGGTGGCTGAAGATCTGTTCAGGTGGTTATAAATTAGATTTAATGTTCTGATGAGGTGCAGGCTGCAGAAGTAAATGCTGTGAGACTCAGACAAATGTCTTGTTTAACATAGTTAGCATTTTTACTTTAAAGGAGTCCTAGAATTTCAAAGCCACATTTACCTTGTTGTTGAGTGAAGGCAGCTTGGGGTGTCGTAAAGTACCAAAACATTTCTGACCTGCCCACACACTTTACCCCCTCATGCCTTTAGGCAGATTAAGCAGCTTCAAATTCTAGATAACAAGGCTGGGAATAGCTTGTTCTCTGAGGCTCATGAACTCTGACCTTTAACTCTGACTTTGTTTACTACTGTCTGATTTTAGATGTTTGTTAATGACTTTGAGTAATTTGTTCTTTTTAGCTGGACGGAGTCGTTCTCATGTTTCTAAAGCCGTTTTTACAAAATAATTCTGTCAATTTGCCGCAACGCTGTGGCGGCATCATGCTGACAATAAAGATCCTGTTTGTGTGTGTTTCAGACTTCTCGGCCAAGCAGCAGAGTTCACAGCTTTGGGAAAAGAGATCAAGCCATCAGGAGGAATCCGAACGTTCCAGTGGTAGTCCGAGGATGGCTCTACAAACAGGTAAAAGCATTTAAGCATTTTGAATAGTTTAAATTAAAAACTCTAGCATAAAATAACACTCTTTTTGGTAAAAATAACAACAACAAAAAAGACAAAAGTGGTTAAATCATAAGACATGGAAAATAAGATTAGAGCTGAATTTTTTGGGGGAAAACCAAAGAGAGAGAGATTTTGTTATCTGATAAATATTCTGTTTCAGGGACAAGTTTCTTGTTCAGCTCTGTTCAGAGTGGAGTTCATCATTGTAGGTTTGATTTTAATGTAATTACTTCTTAATCATGTTAAGTTCAGCAACCAGGAAAATGTAGGATTTTTTTTATTGCTCATTCGCAATGGTGCATTCATGGACCAAGTCAAGTCAACGTGCATTTATATAGCCTATTTAAACGGGAAAAGATGTAGTTATCATTAAAAGTAATAAAAGAGTTGACAAACGCATTACAAGAGACGAAAACCACAGGCAGATAAGTCAAAATACATAAAAAATTACATAAGAATAAAAACAACAATAAAATGTCACAGGTAAAAAGATTAAAAGAACACTGAAACACCAAAGCATTTGGTATTTGACATTAGCAAGACATTCAATAAATGATAATCAGGGCAGCTAGAAAATTCAATCCCCACTCATCGACACAGATGAATCCTTTCTTATGTTGTCGTTTGCAGGCTAGCTTCTGGGGTGTTTATGACACAAAATTTTCCTATTGTAATTTCAACAACAGACCCACCTTCAATTGAAGCACGAACCTCCTCTTGTTTAAATTTTTATTTTCTTTTGCTTGCTCCCGACTCGTATTGCCGTTTGGACGCCATCTCCTCACCTGAATGAATCCATCCGACTCTGCTGGCGTATTTATATTGTCAGGTTTCTTTTGTTTCATTTCGTTCCAACCCCTTGCGTTCTCTTTGCTTCAAAATAGTTTGTTCATAATGAGCTCAAAAGTAAAACTTCGCATTTTGTAAAAGCGCAATTAGTTGTAAGAGCGTTGTTTTAAAATGAATTTTAAGTGGGACTAGTTTGTTTTGTGTAATGAGAAAGTGGTGAAGCGGCTGTCATGTGATCGGTTTAGACCAATGCGGGCCATGTTATGCCATGGCCACATGTAAACAGAAATCCAACATGGCGCAACACATGCGCCCTGCATTGTTAGATTACTCGGCTCTTTCTCTCACCTGCGGGCAGGCAGTGCTCTAAGCGTGGCGCCCCTCACGGATGCGATGAACGATTAAACTGGAGACATTCAACGGGGGAGGAACGCATCCACTGTCTGGAGCTAAAGGGGGGGGGGGGGGCTCTGGATGGGGTGGCCCTACGCAGTGCGTGATCTGCGTGTAGGGAGGGGCGGCACTGCACGGCTGTCTTCACCTTAAGAGGAATGCTATTTCACAGGACAGGAGCATCACAGAGAAGGCTCTAGCACCTTTAGTTTTCAGCCTTGATCTGCGTGTTGCTAGCAGATGAAGGTCAGCTGATGTCAGCCTTCTAGACCGGGCATAGGACTGAATAATGCTGCACGCATATGAAGGAGCTAACCCTTGCAGACGTTAAATATCTAGCAGCGTTATGTTGAAATTGATCCTGAACTTAAGGCCTTGTTTTACAGGGTAAATAAAATGTCACTCAGACCCCTACTGTCCTCTGTGCTCAGATGATCGTACTTGCAACTTCAGTGTGGCAGGCTGCCACCTATTGTTAGAAAAACAGAGCTAACATACCTGGCACTGCAGTCTACTTCCAGCATGTTGTCTGTGTAGTGAGGGTATAATATTGTTGCTTTTAAGCTTAATATATTACCTTTACTTATGACCAATAAGATGTGATATTCTATATAAATATAGGATATCAACCTTATTGGTCTTTGAATGTTTAATCAGAAGATTCTAGGATTCTTTGCTTTTTCAACACACTTTGTGTTAATTCAGACGGAGTCAGGTTTATAAAAAGTTAGAAATTTATTTTCTAAACAAATTAAAACATGACAACTATAAACAAGACGAATGTGATGGATGAATCTAAGTGGATGGAATGTGATGTATGATGATTGAATTGTGTGTGTTTATCAGAAACTTGTATCTAGAAGAAACTGAGTTCTGCGTGTGAAAAGAATTTGGTTTGCATTAAACTATGAAGTTGGTTCTCATCAAAACGGCATCAGATGCAATCATGCTGTGTCTACCTCACCCTTTTGGAGACCCTCTTTGCGGATCCGGAAGTCAGGAAGGTCGGATGACCTCTGGGCACCGAGGTTCAGTAGCTTAACCGCAGCACCTACTACTCCAGTCCAGAGATGTCACCAGGCACAACAGGTTGGAACTACTTTGCGTCTAGAAGGACTCTTAAGGAGTCGGAACTGTATCGTCTGTTCTGTGGGAACCGTTTGCTGTGTCAGCTTCAGCGTGCAACGGGTTTTGACAGCTAGTCAAGAGATGCGGTGGTTAGAGAGTTTCTCCGGTGGCAAGTCCGGTGTTCTGCTCAAAAACTAACTGAATCACTCAGGAAGTGATTCAGTTTTAATATTCCCATATTATGATTACATGGCCAATTAGGACAAAAGAGATTAAGAGGTGTTAACAAACAAACCTCAGAACACACGTCTTTTCCAGATACAAAAGATGCTCCTATTTGTGGGTAAGAAAATATCTATGTGCAGTGACGTTAACTTTAATTAATTTCTTATGAACATTGTGTCTGAGTGTAGATAATGACTCACTTGTTAAACCAAACATTACTGATCCATCCATCCATTTTCATCCGCTTATCCGGAGTCGGGTCGCGGGGGCAGTAGCCTAAGGCGAGAGGCCCAGACTTCCCTCTCCCCAGCCACTTGGGCCAGCTCCTCCGGGGGAATCCCAAGACGTTCCCTGGCCAGGTGAGAGACATAGTCCCTCCACCGTGTCCTGGGTCTTCCTTTAGGTCTCCTCCTGGTTGGACGTGCCCGGAAAACCTCACCAGGGAGGCGTCCAGGAGGCATCCTGACCAGATGCCTGAGCCACCTCAACTGGCTCCTCTTGATGTGGAGGAGCAGCGGGTCTACTCCGAGCCCCTCCCAAATGACCGAGCTTCTCACCCTATCTCTAAGGGAGAGCCCAGCCACTCTTCGGAGAAAACTCATTTCAGCCGATTGTATCCGCGATCTCATTCTTTCGGTCACTACCCAAAGCTCATGACCATAGGTGAGGGTACGAACGTAGATCGACAGGTAAATCGAGAGCTTCGTCTTCTGACTCCGCTCTCTCTTCACCACGACAGACCAGTACAACGCCCGCATCACTGCAGATGCAGCACCAATCTGCCTATCGATCTCACGCTCCAGTTTTCCCTCACTCGTGAACAAGACCCCTAGATACTTAAACTCCTCCACTTGGGGCAAGACCTCATTCCTGACCCGGAGAAGGCATTCTACCGTTTTCTGACTCAAGACCATGTTCTCAGATTTAGAGGAGCTGATTCTCATCCCAGCTGCTTCACACTCGGCTGCAAACCGCTCCAGCGAAAGCTGAAGATCACGTTCTGATGAAGCCAACAGGACCACATCATCTGCAAAAAGCTGAGACCTGATCCTCAGGCCACCAAAACGGATGCCCTCCACACCTTGGCTGCACCTAGAAATCCTATCCATAAAGGCTATGAACAGAATCTGTGACAAAGGGCAGCCTTGGCGGAGTCCAACTCTCACTGGGAACGAGCCTGAATTACTGTTGGTGCCGGTACAGGATCGGCTCGGGGTCCTTCGACTGCCGATGACGTCACATGACGGCAAATCTACTCGGCTTTCACACACACGTTTTGGAAAGACATCAGCAGTTTTGTTAATAAATTCTTGTTTGTTAACACCTAAATGATTTCTTTATCATTGTAATTTGTTAATAAAACACCATATTATCTTTGTTTTGTAAAGAATGTGAAACTGCATAAAACCAACATTGGACTGACAAAAAATAGAACAGTTCTTATATGTGAAGCCACATCTGTTTGTATTAATGTGGAGTTCGTTTGTATATTTCCTTAGTTGTTATCTAAATACATTCTTTGACTCAAGATATTGCTTAGTGTCTTTCAATAAAGTTATTATATTTTATTTTGCCCCATTTCATCAACATCAAGAGCTTTTGAGGGTCACCATTTATCATTTGCTTATATTTTACATTTCCTTTAGAAATTCAAACATATTTTCTCCAAAAAGAGTTGATTTTGGGACTACAGGACTAAAACAGGAGACGCCTCCCCAGAACATTTTGGAAGTTCTGGCAGAGGTGGGAAGTGAGGCTCCTTCTGACAGGAGACTCTGCCAGACATTCCCAGCAGACCCTCGCGATACGTTTGGGCCTGCCTGGTCTGACTGGCATCCTCTCCCACCATTTGAGCCAACTCACCACCAGGTAGTGGTCAGTTGACAGCTCCGCCCCTCTCTTCACCCGAGTGTCCAAGACATGCGGCCGCAGGTCAGATGAAACAACAACAAAGTCGATCATCGAGCTGCGGCCTGAGGTATCCTGGTGCCAAGAGCACATATGGACACCTTTATGTCTGAATATGGTGTTCATTATGGACAATCCATGACTGGAACAAAAGTCCAATTACAAAACACCACTCAAATTCAGATCGGGGGGCCGTTCCTCCTAACCACACCTCTCCAGGTCTCACTGTCGTTGCCCACGTGAGCGTTAAAGTCCCCCAGCAGATTGAGGGAGTCACCGGAAGGAGCGCTTTCCAGCACCCCCTCCAAGGTCTCCAAAAATGGTGGGTAGTCTGAACTGTAGTTTGGTGCTTAAGCACAGACCACAGTCAGAACCTGTCACCCCACACGTAGGCAGAGGGAGGCTACCCTCTCATTCACTGGCGTAAACCCCAACGTGCAGGCACCAAGATGGGGGGCAAGTAGTATGCCCACCCCTGCTTGGCGTCTCTCAGTGGGAGCAACTCCAGAGTGATAGAAAGTCCAACCCCTCTCAAGGAAACTGGTTCCAGAGCCAGAGCCATGCGGTGAGGTGAGTCCGGCTAGATATAGTCGGAATCTCTCAACCTCACACACCAACTCAGGCTCCTTCCCCACCAGAGAGGTGACATTCCATGTGCCAAGAGCCAGCTTCTGTAGCCGAGGATCAGACCGCCAAGGTCCCCGCCCACGGCTACCACCCGTCACACACTGCACCCAACCCCTTTGGCTTTCCCACAAGTGGTGAGCCCATGGGAAGGGGGACCAACGTTTCCTCTTCGGGCTGTGCCCGGCCGCGCTCCATGGGTGAAAGCCCGGCTACCAGGTGCTCGCCAACGTGCCCCACCTCCAGGCCTGGCTCCAGAGGGGGGGCCCTGGTGACCCACGTCCGGGCAAGGGAACACGGTTTCCATTTATATAATTCATCATAAGAGGTCTTCGGGCTGCTCTTTGTCTGATCCCTCACCTAGGACCTGTTTGCCGTGGGTGACCCTACCAGAGGCAGAAAGCCTCAAACAACTTAGCTCCTAGGATCATTGAGACACTCAAACCTCTCCACCACGGTAAAGTGGCAGCCCAGACATTACTGATCATAACATCAAAATGTTTCATTGTAATATTAAAATTCATTTCAACTTCATTGAATTAGGTACAGATTAATCAAACATTAATATTATTATTCATATAGCATTTGTTCATTTAACCGTATGTTTATTTAATGATTATTTAACTTATGAGTTGTAAACGTTCATCTTTCATGAGAGTGTGTAATCCTGCGGTCTTATCAAAAGAAAGCTTTGTTTGGGAACATAGGCTGACATCTTGTTCCCCTGAAATGTCAACACGCACTGCAGATTCTTCTGGCTTGTTGGAAGATAGAATTTAAAATCCTCTTAGAGAATGGAATTATGCCTGCAGATGACCGGTGGCATGTAGGTCGATATGTAGGTGAACAATTACCCTTTCTGCATGTTTAGATCGTGAACACAGCTCATTTGCTACATTAAGTGATGAATCACTAATGAAGGCTGAGGAGACATTTCAGCAGTTGGATTAAGGTGTTCGAAAGACGAACGCCCAGGCAGGAGATGAGTTTCGCTTTTGGTTCTAGTAAACGGACACTAAGGGGTGCTGAAAGCGATCCAGTGTGCCTTTAACAGGAAGCCAGTGATGTGATCATATTTGTCCCCATCAGAAAGCGAGCTGATTCTGTATGCAATCTAAAGCGGACCATGGCAAGCCAATGTATAACACATCATAGTAGTCCAGACATGATCCTATTATGAATAAAAGTTAGATTTACAGATCAACTGATCACCAGATAGTTGTAAGTATCTTTGCTTTATTTGTTATATTTCAGTTAATAGCTATATTTCAGTTGCTTGTGTTGGAAACCTATTTTATCAACTGATGCAGGAAGTTTTATCTTTGAAACTCATCTTCTGTACATTTTTCCACAGTTTGTTGTTTATTTTTATATTCAGAAATGTGCGAACATGGTAGTTAAGTTGTGCCCTTAGCCACAGCGTCCTTCAGCTAGGGACTTTAGTTTATTGTACTTTGACAAGTCGGATCCGCTGTTGTTTATTACCGACACTAGAGACTATTGTATAATTAGTGTAGCTGGCGTTGTCCCTGTGAACGGCTGTCCTGTCCTCACCACAACACAAACAGTGAGCCGTGTTACACGTCCACACAGCGAAACGGACATCTCACACCAGAGACATAAAACACTGAATTAGAGAAACGTTAATAGGCTGATGGGCAGCGTGCTATGCTCACATACCATCCCCAACCCCCCACGCACACACACACACACACACACACACACACACACACACACACGCACACGCACACACACACACACACACGCACACACACACACACACACACACACACACACACACACACACACACACACACACACACACACACACCCTGTATTAAACACTGACAACAGCTTCACACACAGGTTACCATTACCTCCACCAAACGGACAGTGTGTGTTTTAGCCCTTTCATCGGCCCACACACATCAGTGTTACATGCTTCACGTGTATTTAGAGTATTTCGAGCTGTTTCAGGTGATTTTTCCCTCTTTCTGCATCAGTTGTTCTCTATAAATGGGCTTTTTACACCAAGAAAGCATAAAAGACAAAAGCAGTGTCTCTGCTGCTGCACCTGCAGCAACAAGCAAGAACTAATACGAACACGTTTCCTCCTCTTCCTTGCTCTTTATCCTAAATCAGCATCTGTTCATCCCTTCTTTTCTTGTAATTCTGTTTTTCATTTCCTCTCTCTTTTCCTTTTCCATTCTTCTACAGAAGATCTATGAGCATTAATTTTAATGAGCTCTACATTTGGACTCATGTCTTTATTTTGTATGCAGGACAGCTCTGGGATGCGTCTATGGAAGAGGAAGTGGTTTGTTCTGGCCGATTTCTGTCTGTTCTACTACAAAGGTGAGACTTTGTATAAAACATCAGTTTTCACATGAGGAAAGATTTACTTCCTTTGTGTTTCTTTTTCTTTCCTATAAAATAAAACATACTTGACAACTTGAGCTAGCAGCTTGTAAAGTCTCGTTTGAAAGGTCAGGATTGCACCAGGGTTTCCAGTTTCATTCTGGAAAAAGGAGGAATTTAAATCATTTGCTTGTATGAATTATTATGGAAATAGAAACTTGAGTACAAAGGTAATTTTTGACAGCTTCTGTTATGTTTATTAACATATAACATCAGTGATTTCTAAGAGCAGATTGATTTAGTGCACAGCTTCATAATCAGCAGGCTTCCTCCTCTGGACCTGGATCCAGCCGGGTATGACCCAGAGTCTGTGTCTAGGGTAACTCTCAGGTACGACCACATCAGATTTGATCAGACGAGCATAAACTTGTTCACTGACCCTGTACACACATAACTGGGTATCCCACAAAACAAAGATCTTTTCCTATGGCAGCAGTAGCTCAGGAGGGAGAGAGGGTTGTATAGTGATCGGAGGGTAGGATCAATCCCGTCTCCCAGCAAAGAATGCTGCTGTTGTGTCCTTGGGCAAGACGCTTAACCCACATTACCTGCTGGTGGTGGTCGGAGTGGCCAGTGGTGCCTGTGATCGGCAGGCCTCGCCTCTCAGTGAGCCCCAGGCATTGTAGCTCATCACCACCAGGGTGTGAATGTGTGTGTGAATGGGTGAATGATTGACTGCGTTGTAAAACACCTTGGGGACTCTAGAAGATATTATTTAAAAATACATTTTTTACCATTTATGGTTTGGCCTGTCGTCCACGATCAACGGCACCAAAAAGGATTCTTTCACAATCTCTGACCAAAGAGGTGATTTGCAAATTCTCTGTTGTCAGCATTTGCTTGTGGATTGAAATCCCCGTGGTTTTAGGTTCCATTACGTCACTGCCTGCAACAAAAAGGCTCTGACATCACATGTGCGACCTGTGTTTACACTTATCAGTTACTGCTCTATGTAGAAGACCACAGGTGAAGAACGTTTATTGCCCATGACCTAGTAAATACACATCCAAGGAATGTTCATCGGCAAATGCACCGACAACATGGGGAACTACTGACACCTACAGGCTGTGCATGCCAGTGAACGTGCATCACATTGCACTGATAATGGGGTGGTGTGGGTCCAAGATTTTTCCTAGATGGGCGAGGGAGGGTATTCAGTTTTACATAAACTGTGCTACGTGTGTACGTGGTCCTAGTTTAGTTAAAGATAATTTCAACTTCATACTTTTAGACATGCGTAAAATGTCTTTTATTAGCTTTAGTTGTAAACATGATCAGGTTTTCTTGGTAAACTTCTCCATGGTGTCCACCCTAATCTCCACGTGTGAGTACATACGAGTATTGATGAGTCATAGTTTTAGTTTGAGAGTAATTGACCTATTTAAGATCTCCTGGTAATAATTTATGAAGTTATTCATAAACTATTATTGTCAGACTATGACATACCTGTTATTGGTTTGATTCCAGATCAGATATTCACATTTATATTCTTATATTTCTCTGAGTCCTGGTTGTCCAGCAGCAACACCCTTCTGCACAGTATGTTTATTTATGATTTAACAGATTTCAATATAAAATGTGTGAAAATGATCAAAAGCTGGAACTGAATTGTGATTATTGTGAAGTGCAGCTGACGAAGGAGCTGGTAAATCAGGCCTGGCGGGCTTTGATGGGATCTTTCTTGGTGAGTTCCAGATGGAACCCGTTTGTGGCAAGTGCATACGTACATCACAGACCCCATCAACACTGAGCTGCTTATCTTAATCTGCCGCTCCGTGCCTGCCTTTTTCATCTCCATATTTTTACCCAGAACCTTTTGGGAGACACTCATCTGCCCTCCCAGCTCGACAGGAGGGAGAAATCAATTCTCTGTTGTTTCATTTTTCCTCTTTTCACTTTCTTCTCACTCATTTCAAAGGTTTCTCCTCTCAACATGAAAACAATCGGTTTGTCCCCCGTCTCCTCCATCTCCTGCTTTCATCTTTAGCTTTAGAAGTAGATCCAGACCTTCATTTCTCTAGCTGATCCATATGTTTGTTTAAGTCGTACTGTTAGAGCTGTAAAAGTTGGGTCTCTTCTTTGTGGTAATTTTCTTAAATTTACTTGTATTCATATTTAGACATTGACCCATTAACAGGAAGGTCAGAGAGCACATTTTAATCACTGATTGTTGCCTGTTCTAAACATACCTCAGAAAAACCATATACACTCACTGGCCACTTTATTGGGTACACCTGTCCAACTGCTCGTTAACATAAATTACTAATCTGCCACTCACATGGTGGCAACTCATGCATTTAGGCATGGAGACATGGCGAAGAATTGGTGGGGAGGAAAGATGAATTAAGTAACTTTGAATGTGGCATTGGTATTGGTGCCACACAGACTGAGTATTTCAGAAACTGCTGATCTTCTGGGATTGTCACACACAACCATCTCTAGGGATTACAGTGAATGGTTAGAAAAAGGGAAAACATCCAGTGAGCTCCAGTTCTGTGGGCGAAAATGCCTTGTTGATGCCAGAGGTCAGAGGAGAAAAGCCAGACTGGTTTGAGCTGATAAAAAGGCAACAGTAACTAAAAAACCACTTGTTACAATCAAGGTACGCAGAAGAGCATCTCTGAACACACAACATGTCGAACCTTGAGGCAGATGAGCTACAGCAGCAGAAGACAGCACCTGGTGCAGCTCCTGTCAGCTAAGAACAGGAAACTGAGGCTATGATTCACACAGGCCCACCAAGATTGGACAATAGAAGACTGGAAAATTGTTGCCTGGTCTGAGTCTCTATTTGTGCTGCAACATTCGTATGGTAGGGTCAGAATTTGCCATCAACATCATGAAAGCACGGATCTATCTTGTCTTGTATCAACGGTTCAGGCTAGTGGTGGTATAATGGTGTAACGGGCATGTTCTTGGCACACTTTGGGCCCCTTAGTACTAGTTGATCATTGTTGCAATGCCACAGCCTACCTGAGTATTGTTGCTAACCATGTCCATCCCTTTATGACCACAGTGTTTGCGAAAACACGTCCGACGTTGCCGACGTGTTTCAGTAATGTCAGATGAAAAACTTTAAATCGTCGGACATTTTGACCGACTGGCCTCTTATCAGAACTTGCCAAAATAAAACCTTCCTGAAAACCACAAAGTCCGTTGCTCTGATTCTGTGACACAGACATTATTATTTTTAATAATCCATCAGAGACCGTCTCTGGTCTCTGTAGCAGCTGCCCGCAGGAGCACTTCTGAGCCTTTTAATTGAACTGCGCACAGAAAGCTTTAAGCAGCTGTATTACAAATTCCAGGTAACTTAAGATAATTTCATATTATTGTGATATTTGTGCTGAACTAAAATGCCAGACAAAGGGACATTTTGCCCTAACAACGGTTCACTAGAGTAGTCCACCAGCTGAGATAAACCCGCATCACCGGTTTAATTTTCACTCTTCAACAGCCAACGCGTTTCTTACAGGAACAGTAACATTAGGCTAGAATAGCGTTGCTGCTACTTACCACATGGCCAGATTTACGGTGTGTCTTTCCCTCTGAAGGAAGGATTGGAACTTACAGCCCTTTTCCCCTCAGTTTTTCTCTGCGTCTGGTTCCATGACATCACATTCATGAAGCTTATTTGTAGTCCTGGAATTATTTTCAGTTAAAACCTAAAATAGTGTTTCCCTGTTCGAAAATAAACACTTTTGGTATCAAAAGGCTTCTTTAAAATTCACGGGCATCATATGTGAAATCCAAGGCACATAAGTGGAATTATAAAATAGCATTTTTAGCTCCATTCAAAAACAACCTGCGTGAGACACTCAAGAGTTGTGGCGCAAGAGTTTTTGCAAACACTTTGACCACAGTGTACCCATCTTCTGATGGCTACTTCCAGCAGGATAAAGCACCATGTCATAAAGCTTGAATCATCTCAGACTGGTTTCTTGAACATGACAATGAGTTCACTGTACTCAGATGGCCTCCAGTCACCAGATCTCAATTCAATAGAGCACCTTTGGGATGTGGTGGGAAAGGAGAGCAGCTGGCAAATCTGCAGCAACTGTGTGATGCTATCATGTCAATATGGACCAAAGTCTCTGAGGAATGTTTCAGTACCTTGTTGAATCTATGCCACGAAGGATTAAGGTAGTTCTGAAGGTAAAAGAGGTCCAACCTGGTACTAGCAAGGTGTACCCAATAAAGTGGCCAGCGAGTGTACCACACGTGTGTGTGTGAGCGTGCGCGTGCGTGCGCGCGCATGTGTGTGTGTGTGTGTATGTTCAAGGGACCTCCATTTTAACTGACAGACTTCGTCTGCCCAATTCTGCACTTGAGGGAGGAAGCGACATGTTTACAGAATGGGCCTCATTTATTAAAGCCTTTTTAGGAGGTGTTTATTATGACAGTATATTTATTTAAATGAGATTTCAGTTTGGTTTATTTGGCATTTATTTAGCAAGTGAAGCTGACATGTTGTGTTGTAGCTTCTGGTCTGCAGTGATAATTTATTAATGTAAACTCCTTCTCTATGAGAGGAATCTGCTCCCATAATGCTGCTTGTATTTGTCTCACAAACTGCTGTACATATGAATCACATTCAATCCACAGGAGACAAGCAACTCCCTGGTGAGCTGCAGCGGACAGACGAGGCTCACAGCTTTTACTTATTGTGCTTTTACAGCGTGTAGTCTGTCATTTACAACTTTACAGGCTTTAATAAAGCCCACAGTTTCCCCTTCCTGCATGTGATGCATTCACATTAGTTTACATTTACATTATGGGACTTCTGGTTTCATCTTTAGACTTAAAATCAAACTGCTTCAAACATCAGACTTTAACTTACAAAACAAGATGAAGTTTAAATAAAAATGGCAGAAAAATATTGCGAGGTGTCAGGAGGTAAGCAGATGATCAATAAAATGAAAACAAATAAATAAAATGAAAATTAATTAATTAACGATCTGCAGGTAGCTTCTGGATCCAGCTTCTGATTTGTAATTTAATCAAAAGATGATTCAACTGAATGTTCACCATCTGGATCCACATTTTTGTTTGTTGAAAAACTAAAACTAAATGGAGAACTTCCAAAACACACAGTTTGTGACACTCTGACCCTTTTTATACATGTGCAAATAAAGTACATTTTGATGCTTTGTTTTTGCATCCGTTCCTGTTTAAATCAGGCTCAAAAACCCACGATGCTGTAAGTTTTCTTTTTTAAATTTTTTTTTAAAGTTTTGTCACAAATGTCTCCATCAGAATGACTTTCTCAGGGTCAACCCTTTTTCTTGGTCAGACATGCTTAAGGTGTGTGTGTGTGTGTGTGTGTGTGTGTGTGTGTGTGTGTGTGTGTGTGTGTGTGTGTGTGTGTGTGTGTGTGTGTGTGTGTGTGTGTGTGTGTGGCAGATCAAAGCAGGGTATCCGCGGGTCCTTAAAAAGTCTTAAATTAGCTTTTCCAAATTTAAGGCCTTAAAAATCCTTAAAAATTACAAATAATTCTTAAATCCAGTTTCCAGAGGTCTTAAATGACCAAAGACCCAATAAACAAGATTCTTTTATTTCTATAAAAATTTCGTGAATTTCTAGTTAGTGTTCAGCATTTTTTGTGTATGATGTTGGCGTAAGCAGCACCGTACGCAGTCAGTTGGTTGTGAAAGGGGGGCTATTTTTAGATGAGCACATTAGCTGGTTAAGCTAGTGGGAGCTTGCGCCATGAGGAAGTGGAAGTTTAATGGTAACTGGATGGCTAATCCCACGATCGCAGCGTGGTTAGCACCGGTTCCAGGCAATAGCTGGAAATTATAGCTTAAATTTAATTTTTAAAAATGATAAATGACCCGCACTTGTATAGCGCCTGTCAGAGTAAGGACTCCAAAATGCTTTACACTACAGTGTATCATTGATCCATTCACACACTCATTCACACACTGATGGTGATGAGCTACGATGTAGCCACAGCTGCCCTGGCCAGTCCCTCTGACCACCACCAGCAGGCAAGGTGGGTTAGGTGTCTTGCCCAAGGACACAACAGCAAAATTCTCTGTCCGGAGAGGGGATCAAACCTGCATCCTTCCGATTACTGGACTACCCGCTCAACCTGTTGAGCTACTGCTGCCCTGCTTAAATAGCTTAAATTTGGTAAAAGTGGCTTTAAAAAAAGGTCTTAAAAAGTCTTAAATTTGGCTCCCTTAAACCTGCAGATACCCTGTCTCACCCACTATTTAGGAACGCCTCCTTTGAACGACCTTGTCATGTTCTGGACGACTTCTTTAATCCACAAGGCTGCCTTGTCACCTCTCTCACACAAACACACAGGAACCTTACATACTTTTCATATCAGTATTGAATTTCACGACGTGGTAATCATAACACACACACTCACACACACACTCTCTCTCTCTCTCTCTCTCTCTCTCTCTCTCTCTCTCTCTCTCTCTCTTTCACATAGACTTTCCATTACAAAGCAACGTGGTAGACTGAAGATGTTTATTTTTAGAGGTGTGAGCGCAGAGGGCTGGGAGGGTTTTGGAGAGTGAAAACTTCCTTCTTTAAAAAGCTGCTTAAAGGTGCAAGTTTAGGGTAAAAGTAAAGCTTGAGGACTGTTTCCTGTCCATTCTGTTGAGGGATGAGTGTGTGCATGTTTGTGTGTGTGTGTGTATGAGGCTGCCAGCTGGAGCTGTGTGACACTCGCACACCCATTGGCACGGCACCGTGTTGTGAGTGACGGTATGCTGGTGCGTGTGAGCTCTGATATAGTTGGTCAGCCGGATGGAATTAGTGGGTGATGAGTGATATTTATTCTCCTAACTTTTCCTCGACATCTCCCTCACCACTCTCCCCTTCTTCCTGGTCCTGATTATCCCCTCCCTCTCCTGCCCTTCCCCTCCCCTCCCTCCCTCCGTAGACAGCAGAGAGGAATCGGTACTCGGCAGTATTCCTCTGCCCAGCTATGTCATCTCACCCGTGGGATCGGAGGATCACATCAGCCGCAAGTACGCCTTTAAGGTATGCCTCCCTGTTTGCACATACAGATGTTTCTGACTTCCTGTCATGTGATTATTATTTCTGCTGTCATTTTTGGTTTAAAAACCGGTTGCTGGTCTGTTTATTAGATTTTGTCAAGTTCATGTACAAAAGTCACATAATCCGCATGAAGCTATGAAGTACCACCTTTTAAAAGTTAGGAAGAAGTAAACGTTATTGAATCTGTCGAACATGAGCAACAACTAAAGTAAGTCATCACATCCGAGGAGTTCCAGATATGGATAATGGCTTTTGATTCTATTTAAAGCTGAAGAGTTTCCTCTGAAAGCCGATGTTAACCCTGCTCTGTGGCAGGTTTTCTGGTGTGTCACTTTCCCATCCAGTCATGACTCACATCCTCACATTACTCCTTACTGGTCAGACGTCACACACGTACACCACACTTGAGTCTTTGAGATCCTCTCAGCTCACAGAATGTGTCACTTGTTGTTTTAACAACTAAAGAAGGATTTAAAATCCTTGAGGTTCTTTTTTTAAATGACAAATGATTCAGCACAGCGCCCACCAGCTGTTACAGCAGCGTCGGCTACAGCTGATGATCCGTCAGCATCTCTATTGAGACAGACCAGCTCGTCTCGAGTGACACAGAGATTCTTCATCCTCCAGGGGTACAAGGTTTCCATCTCGGCCAAATGTATGTAAAGGCTTACTGTAGGAATCTGCTCCGTCAAGATTTATGATGGGTTTTTTTTGTTTTCAGAAGGCTATCGAGCTAAAATTAAAACATGCTAACCCTCCATGTAAAATGTTTGCAGCTGTTTCTGGATAAGAAGACCTGAACCCACTTTAAGTCCTGGTATGCAGCGTAAAATCATATCAAATTAGAAAAAAGGACGAAAAAATTCAAACAGAAACAAAAACATGTTACGAAAGTAAGAAACATAATAATTAAATATGTTTGCTCTTATCAACCATCCCCTAGCAATGTATGTGTTTGTCTAAAAACAGGTTTTTTTTTTTTTACTGCATCTGTCTCCTGTAGTTTTCATTAGCTCTTTCCTGCAGTGATGTGTGGTTGTGTCTTTCAGTACACTACAGTATGGATGCAGCAACCAGCAGAGCATCCAAACACAACGCTCAGTCAAACAAACCTTTAGTTCCCCAGAAGGAGCAGTGAACTCCTCCATGTTTGAACAAAAACTCCTGTCGGTCTAAAGCTAATGTCCAGGGGCCTCATCTATCAACCGTACTTACGCACAGGTCTGCGTTTATCGTGCGTAGGAACTGATTTACACGTTGTGTGGTATTCATCATTTTGTACCTGTACATGGAAATGTTCCTAAACATAAGAAAACTTCAGAGCATGAGTAGGAACAGCATCTAGTGGTAGAACGGGGGAACTGCAACACCAAAGGTTTCAGTCATCCACACATGGTTGCCGTGTTTTTATTATATTTTTAATATTTTTAATTCATTAATGTCATTTTTAATTAAATTTTATTACATTATGTTTTCGTCCTTGTGAAACGTCTCATGATTTTGCTTGAGATGCGCCAGATAAAAGAACATTTCTATAATATTAAGTCAGAGCGTGCTCTCTGGTGAAAGCACGTTTGCCTGAGCTCACTGACTGGAGGTCCGTCTGGAGCTGTGCTGTGGTTTGGGACTCATTGTGGAGCAACAGATAAACCGCATAAATCTGATTCCAGTTCATGTTCTGTTTTACAATTACAAGAACCTTCCAGAACCTTCTCTGCTCCTCAATCACACACGCGTTGTCATGGTAACCAGACTGAATGACAGCTGAGAAGAGGCTGCACTCGGACATTTCCAGATAAAACTAACTCCATCCATAACGACTCCGTAAATAAAAAATGTAAATGACAAGCAGTTACTCTACGATTGATCATATTAAAGTTTTTATTTATTCCGGACGGAGGCCTCTTCTTTGTCCCAACCGCGTTTTTAACCTCAGCAACTTGTTTGGTTCTTTTGCACTTCGGCATGCAGCGTCTCGATCTCGCAATGTTTCTTGTTTTACCGGGTAGAACGCAGAGAAACCTCTCACGTGCTGAGGACGTAGTGTGACCAAATATGGTTAACTGAGGGCGTTCCTGTATGTAAATGACCGAGAACGGACATGAGCACCTGGGTATGCACAGGTAGGATTCATCATCAGATGAGTGCAGAGGAACATGATGCATCTTTCGTAAATCAGGGTTTTGACCGTTCATACGAACATTCTAAAGTCCGTTCATAGGAAGGAACTTAGGAATTTTTCTACCAACATTTGATACATGAGGCCCCAGGTCTACAGGTCTGGGACCAGAGTCAGCTGTAACTTAAACCATCCACCTCCCACCCCTCCATACCCCTTCTCCCTACTTACCAAATCCTCTTCCCTCTCTTGTTCCCATTGGCTGGCTGCCTGACTGGGACTTCCCTTCCTCCGTGTGAGTGGGTCCAATGAAAGCCCTCCCCTTTAATAGGTACTCTACTGATCTTATGGTCTCTCTGCCTTATGTACACCTTGCATATCCTTGTTTGCTGTCAGTGTGGCTTTAAGCATGGGGTAGTATACAACAGCCTTGTATATTCTTTAGATTATTTGATGCATGTCTGGAGAACATCGTGTTGTTTGGTGGTGATGTTTTTCAATGTCCGTGTCCTTGCTCTTTCTTTTTTTTTTAAATTTTTTTCTCCCTTCGTCTTGATTTGTCACATCCCTTTTTCTGTTGACACCTTATCGTTTTCTGCGATTTGGAGCATTCACCCATCAGGTTTTCAGGTTACCGCTCGCCCACACGCCGCAGTCACCATCTCTTTCATCTGCTTAACCGGCATGCAGTTTTTTTATGGTGTAAAGAAAAACAGAATTAGCTGTTTCATATATGTCTTACGCAAAGTTTTTGAAAATTGGTGGACAAACAATCACCTTGTCACCAAAATATTACATTTAGTCTTGTTTCTAAAACAGCTTGTGCTTGAGGGAACTGTAGCTGTCATTTTCTATGAGCACTGTAGGGAGGTAAATGTTGTTGCTTTTAAGCTTATTGTATTACCTTTACTTATGACCAGGAAGATGTAATATTCTATATAAATATAGAATATCAACCTTCTTGGTCTTTGAATGTTTAATCTGGAGATTGTAGGATTCTTTGCTTTTTCAGGGATCAAACACACTTCGTGCTACTTCAAGAAGAGAGTCAGGTTTATAAAAGTAAGAATTTATTTTCCAAACAGTTAAAAACATGATGAGTTAATGAATATTACTGTGAGTGGATGGATCTAGGTGGATGGAATGTGATGTATGGCGCCTGTGTATGAATATGATGTTATCAGAACGTTCATATCTCGAGGAGCGGAGTTCTGGGTGCAAAAGGAAGAATTTGGTTTGCGTTAAGCTATGAAGTTGATTATTATGAAAAAGCATCAGACGCTATCTGTGTGTCTCCTTCACCCTTTCTTGGAGACCCTCTTCGTGGATCCGAAGGTCAGGGAGGTCGGATGACCTCTAGGCACCGAGGGCTGTAGAACACCTGTAGCACCAACTCTTCAGTCCAGAGATGTCCCGGGTCACATCAGATGGATTGAACCGTGACGTCTAGACGGACTCTTAAGGAGTCGGAACAATATCAGCTTTGTTCTGCAGGAACCGTTTGCTGTGTCGGCGGTAGGCAGCTCATGGTTAAAGAGCTGTCGCTCCGGACGGCCGTTCTGAAACGCTCTCTAGAACTGAATGCTGGATGATGGGAAGCTGGAATGCGAGTACCGAATCACCACAGTGATTCTGTTTTAATATTCTCATAGTATGATTTACTAACAAATCAGAATCGGCCATGTAAGAAGAGTTTTACCAAGAACCTCAGAAAACACGCCTTCTGGAGACACCGGATGCTCTGATCTGGGGTAAAGAAATATCCATGCGTCATGAGTTTAACTTTACTTTAATTTGTCCTTGTGTCAGTCAAGGCCTGGGTAACAACAACCCTGGCTCTGAATGAAGCAATAACATGATGAATGCTCATTTTAATACATTACTTTTGTTTTAATACTTTGAATACTTTGTTTTAATATTATAAGTAGTTTTGAAAGCGGTACTTTTACTTGACTGAAAATGTGAAATTCATGCTTCATCAATGTCTGCAGAAGTCTTTCTAAACCCTAGTGCATACTTCTGCCTGAGTCATTATTGTAAATACTTTTGGCACCTCTGCCACCATCACAGCCCAGTGGCTTAGCTGTCCACCAGCATTGTGTTTATTTACACTGCACGTTTTCCTAAAACCAATAAACAGACGGCCATGGTTTGGCTCTTTTTGGATGTTTTTCAGTTTAAATGTAGCTCTTATAGTAGCATGTCGAGTACAATGTGCCTTATCAGAAGCTTTGTGGTGCACTGGCAGCTAACGCTTATCTGTGAGAGCACAATGGCTGTAAATAGTGCCAGGACTAAAGGAGAGGGTGTCTGTCAGGGCTTTAGGCTGGCAGTGCTGTAATCTTTTGTAAGGGAGAGTAGTGAGTGATGTTTCCAGACTGAACGAGGGAAAAGGCAGAAAAGGGCAGGAAGTGATTCAGAGGGGAAGATTTAAAGTAAAAATACCAGGAGGAAGTTTTGGGAGTGATAGTGTGAGAACAGAGTTTTTTTTTTGTTTTGTTTCAAAAAGCAGTATTCATGAAACTGATGTTGAAACAGATGATCAGAAGCCTCCTTTAAAGTGCCACCAACGCCCACACAAGCAGCAGAGGTTGATGGAGCTGGTCCCAGAGCGTAGGTGTGCTGTGTAGGCGTGTGGCCATGAATAACCCTCTCCTCATTCCTGTTAACGAGATGCTCAGACTCACTTTTATTTCTGTGTGGTATTTCTGGATACGAAATTCTAAAAAGAATTCTTTACTGTGGAAAAATGTATCTACCAACTATTTTAGTTAATTTGTACAAAATACCACTGTGGTGCTCTTCAAGCATGTGTTGCACTTTCAGAAAATAAAAGGGAGGTTTGGTGGTTTTTAATGGACTT